ATGATGACTTGTTTTCTATTTTTCCACATGTCAAAACATACTTCTACGCACGATCGCGTTCACAAAACTATTCAGTTTTTCCTCACATCAATCCGACAAATAAATCAAACAAGAATTTTTTTTTCTAAATAGATAGAAATTTTTCAGTTTTTCACACGTGCAGTGCATTATTTTCGCATTATTTTCTGTGTCTGATATATGTATAATAACACACAAAAAAAAAGAATTAATGGAAGAAGGAAATAAAATGACAAACATGCCTTTCGGCTAATCTAACATTGTCAACAAGTGCGTGTTACTTCCAATGATGATGATACTCAATAAAAATACATCATGCATGTGTGCATGTTTCCTTTACTCTTTTTATATTAAAAGGAGAAAAAAGAAACATTCATGAAAAAATCAAAAAAAAATACTACATTTTTTTGTTATTGTTACTATTGTCTGAAAAAAAAGAGTGAGAGAAAGACTTCAAAAATTCTAGTCAAAATCATCGAAACATGAAAAGTGCCATTTATTTAATTGATGATAATCAAACTTATTACCATAAAACTATGATCCTATTTAAATAAGAGTTCGTATTGATGTGAGACAATTATAGAGAAAATAAGATTAATAGCCAATAAATCTGGAAATAAACAACTAATATTGAATATTAGTTGTAGGAAAAAAAATATGATTCGATTATGATTATTTTTCAGTTAGAACATTTCAATATTTATCGAAGAAAAATCCGATTTTTGACATCTATGTCATCTGAATATTTTTTAATCAATCAAAATTTTTCTTAGAGTAATACTATGCCCGTATTTAATAAAAGCCATATTTAGAAACGCATGACTTTTTACTCTAGGTAGTTCTACATAGGTTAACTTCCGTTTCGTAAAATATGACCGGAAATTCTTTTAATATTGAAAAAAGAAAAGACTTTTGTTTCTAAAAATAGTTTAATTATCTGTCCTATATAATTTAGAAGTTAAGATTCGATTAGTTTTTCAAGCAAAAAAAAAATTTCATTTTCATTCAGTGATTTATCATCTAATAATATATCCAAAAAATGACGTAATTCTATTAGAAAGAATTTCTATTCACTTGAACATCTATAGAAGAAGAAGATTGTTTTTTATTCTCAAGAATTTCGTCGTTTCCGGAAACTAATGAGTTTGAACATTTATACAAATATAACAAGTCGATACAAATAATAATCTCTTGACATAAGAATATACTATTTTTATGCGTATATATAAACTATTTCATTTATAGTCTAATCAGCTATAAGATAAGGTAGAAAAGAACAACAGAAATCTGAAATATATATTATTTTACATGCAATAAAGATTAGGCATTAAATAAATGTATAATCATGCTAATATGTACTAAGAAAACTTTCTTTTTTTTCTAACATATCTCAATGATTATATTATAATCAGATTTTCTCATATAATAGATAATTATTATTGACAATATAAATTGTCTCGGAAACTAACTACGACAGTTTCTTATAAAAATGAGAAAAGAATTCAATAGAAAAGTGTAAAAAAAAAGAAAATAATAAAAGGGTAGATACAAAACTAATGCTCGTTTGTTGTTTCTGCTTTCACTGATAGCAGACATCATATATGAGATTGCAAGACCTCCTTCCTCGACTTCTTCCGCATCGCAAATTAGCGTAAATGGATATATAGTACGGTTGACTTGTTGTGTCGACTAGGAAATGATTTCCTACTGATACAAGATTTACAATGTTCACTAATAATGTAGTAAACATCTTAATTAATGTTATACTGAAAACAACAAGACTATATATATATATTATAAATACTAACTATATGTTGTTTCTTATATAAAGGTTAAGATATAAATATATATTATTAATAGCGAACTCGGTCATCTTCTGAATTAGTTTAACGAAATTAATTACAAAATGGACTAACATATAGAGTTTCATTTGAAACGATAATTATACTAGACAATACATAATGTACATTTCAGTTCCATTTGTCAATGCAATGAACTGCTTATAGATTTGTATCGTCAGTTCAAGTACGAAATAGAGAAAAAACGTATAGAAGATAATATCACGATGAATATTTTATATTAAGCTAGATGTTTTTTGATAAAATCTTACTAAGAAGCCTATAAAATGCTAATACTTTTAGCATTTAGTAAATATAGAATTACTCGTTAGGTATAAAACCTTTTTCGCCTCAAGGATTTTTATGATCTTAACATGAGAAATAAAATCTAGTTGAAATGTTTCCAATAAGAAGTTTCTCTAAAGATCAGTCATTTTTGACACACGCACAATATATATTTCTCACTGCTACCTTGATCATAATATCCATTAATATTCTACTTATAAATTATTTTATCTAAAATAGAATAAATAAACCCATTATAAATACTGTTATATCTTTATATATTTACACATCTATTCAAATAAAAATACAAAAAAAAGAGACTCTATATATATTCCGAGGTAATGCTATTTCATTGCGTTAAGAAGTATTTTTGCTGCTTGGCACATGAAAATACAGACAGACAAAAAAAAGAAGAAATAAAATTTTTTGTGTTTTTGTTTGAGCACAATAAAAAGAAAATTACAGTGTTTTATAACATGAGATCAATTAAAAATAATGAACAAAATGACAGCTAATGCAATGCCTAGAAATATACGTGATAACAGATCATGTTGATAACGTTCAGGTGTACCAGGTGGTGCTAAAGAAAAAAGAGAATTGATTGAGTGTGAAAGATTTTTTTTCTATCAAAAATATATACGTGGAGCATAGTGATAATCATTATTGTTCGTTGCAAATGTTGTTTGAAATAGACCAAATGGAAATGCACCAACACCAAATGACATTTGAAAATTAACACCATCACCAAATCCAAAAGTCTTTATAGAAAAATCAAAAAAAATACGAGTCATTTCTATATTTATTATTTTTATTTGTTATACTCGATTTCGACGTGGTTCTTGCCTCGTACCAGCCGGTCGTGGTGGTGTCGTATTTCTAAAAATATATGATGTCAAATAAATTATTTTTATTATGAGAAAAATAATCATAGTTATATTAACCTTGGATCAGTTTGTGGAGAATTTCGTCCATAAATAGGTACTAATTTATCACGTGATATACTACTTTTACATACTGGACAAGTTGGATTATGTGCACGAGTTTCAAGCCATTGATGAATACATGGCCAACAAAATAAATGACCACAAAGTGATAGAACAGCATCATGAGCTGTTTCAAGACAAATCTTAATTTAAAGAAAAATAAATTTGTATTCTTATAGAGAAAAAATGATTAATATTGAACGTACATTGCATTCAAACCCTGAGTCTTTTTCATTATTTGATGATGATTTTTTCTCATCATTACTACCAGCAGATGGAGGAATATTATTATTATCGGCAGATGTTTCTTCTATCGATGCCATTTAATTGGATATTTAAAGAAACAGAATAAGTTTAAGTTAATAATTTAGATTAAAATAACTAGTTAGATTAAACATATATCTGTTACTTAAAAATGCGTCATTGTTTTCTAAATACATGATTGGTTTTAATGGTACCATTGATAATCAGTATGAGCCTCCGACTCATCTGCCAACCAATAGAAATAGTAGAATTCATGTGAAGATGAAATAAATTGATGATAATGATAAGTGTCAATTTATCAATTGAGAGAATGTCGACTATACCAAACGATTTTGTTAATTTTCTAGTACCTGTCATTCAAGAATTTGATGGTGCTGTAGAACAAGTTCGGTATGTATATATTTTATATAAAATAAAATTTTTTCTATTTTCATTTTTAGACATCGTCAATTGGCACTTGGAAATTGTCTCACGTCAATGAACGATGGTAAATTTATGAATACATGACTTTACTTCTTTTTTCAAAGTCATGTTTTGTTCTTTTGTTCTTTAATTAGAATTAGCTACTCTGTATAAACAATGTCCTGGTGATCGAGAAATAGATGAATATATTAAACGAATTCATGCATTAAGACAACGCATGATTGAAGCTAATATTCATGTAAAAATTATTGAAGTATGAAAAAAGAACTTTTCTTTCAAAAAATACACTTTTTTCATTTTTATTTTTCTATTATACAGGATCGAATAGGGAAAATGGAACAATCAATGACTAAAATAAAAACATAAAATTTTTTTATTTCCATGCAATAAAAAAAAAGAACTGAAAAAAAATAATAACTTCTTTTCATTTTTCTTGAAGTTCAGGAGCAGATGGATAATTATCAT